GCTGATGTGGAGTTTGATTTAGTGACGGTCAATGAATGGGGCTTTGTGTGGCTGCTGCCTGGCAACATGACAAAGTTACTCCAATGATAAAGTGCCCTCCTATAAAAAAGAGGACAAATTAAAAGACGTAAATCAATCTTACAGAAATAGATAAATCAATGCTCCTTGGGTCTGTGTTCATGACATGATTTGTGTGTGTTTGTGTCCTTGCGTATGGACACTTGAGTATGAGATTGAGTGCTACAAATGAGATGGGATGCTTTCCCGCTATGTGTCCCCCTAGAGAGTGGTTCACATGCTGCTTCAGCATCACTCCGATCAATTTGTCACTATATTCTGAATAATCAGATTCATCACATAAGGAATTAATTTAAAAAAAGTGTGACTGGAGGGATTTGTGTGGCTTTAAAACACATTATATATATATATATATATATATATATATATAGTCTCAAAAAGTGAAGCTTTTTGGTAGGACAGCTAGGTAATATATTCAAAGGGTAAAGGATATGAACAAGTAGCTGCAATTTAAAATGATGGGAAATGGAATTTGGAGTAAAACTTACAAATTAAAAATTACAAATTATTATTATTATTATCCACTGTTATACAAGCCCAAGTTTTACCTTAAAATTGTTACAAATTATTAGTTGTACAAAACTCAAAACAATGTGCGTATGCTGCCCTCGACTAAGGATTTACATAGTCAAATCAGAATTATCAAGTCTGCCTATAGTCGACTGATAGTCGAATAATGTGTGTTTTTTTGCACGGCCATTGCAAGCCGGGAGGGGGGGTGGTTACACATGGTGGCTCCACTTTAATCTTGAGAAGCTGCAGAGCTGAATCTATTCATTCAATTTACACTGTACTTTTCCAGCTAAACTGAGGCTTTTTGAAGACCCTTTTCTCTCTCTCTCTCGTTGCGTGCATTCCTCGTGGGTCTATTTCAAGTAGCCGGCTATCTCAAAACGATAAAATGAGTGGGTCATCAGCATTATCCCAAAGTCCCGTGAGGTGCGACAACTCGCCACAACACCAGTGAAGCTGGGGCTCAGTCTCTTCAGCAAGAAGGGTCCAGCTGCAGCCTGCAGACAAACATGACGGAAGCTGACGGAAGTTGAAATTCCAAATATGGTTTGCCCCAGAAGGCACCACGAAGAAAACCTGATGACTTTTATCTCGGCCGCTTGGCCAATGCATAGGTCAACGTGGTAATCAGTGTACATTATTCTTTAATATTTACTATACTATAATTATATATCATTAATATAGTATATTAATACTATAATTCCTGCAAATATTTATTTATAATAGGCCCAATGATAATAATAAAGCAATGTTTCAATTCTTACCACTGTTGTTGTTCTATATTTTATTTGTTTCAAAGTGATTTTAAGTTTCACGAATCAAAAATATTCTGTAATGTTACATCACGAGCCAGATGTATCTTGATTAGGGTTAAAACTTTACAACATTACTGAGAATTTAATGATAGAATAACAGCGGAACGAACATTAACACTAACACAGCTGTTGCTAACCCCTAACCCTAACCCTAACTGGAGCTAGCTAGCTAACTATTCCTGACAGCCCCCCGAAGTATATTACTCTTACCCTAACCATCACAGGGTTAGAGCCTAAAGTTATTGATTGTATGCACGTCGGCCGGTAACGTTACTGCAGCTATATTATATTGTCATCCGCCGGCACCATGCTCGGCACTTGCGGAGCTTCTCAACTCCTAAAACGTTTGAACACATTTTCGATTCGCCATTAATTTTCGTAAAACTGCCGATATTTGAAATCTACACAGTTGATTTCTCGCCTAAAAACTTCTCAGAAGCGTATTTAAAGTTCTGTTGTTGGCCTATAAAGAATAAAACGGTTTCCATTAGGATCTATACTGTAGGTGAGCCGAGATTAACGTCATCACGTTTTGTGCGTGGTGTCTTCTTGGACAAACCATATTTGGAAGTTCAACTTACATCAACTTCCGTCAGGTCTGCGGGCTGCAGCTGGATATACTTGTCTTCAGCAAGTGTTCCTCTTCTGCCACTACCTTCATGCTACGCCTACATATGCGCACTGACGACCCAGGGTTAGGTTTCCAATTTTGGATTTATTCACGCACTTTAAACACATTTATTGAAAGCTTTTTTCTTTTCTCATTTTTTTATTTACAGCATTATATGTTGAAATATATATTTTAATAGGCAGTATACTAGCTTATTGGGAGAAAACTGGTAGTTCTATGTAAAATCAGAGGTTGACCACCCCCATATCGCCAAAATGGTATGATCCTTGTTTCTGCGAAGCTTCAACTGTGAGATTGACAATCGAATCAGGCTCCGCCCATCGAAGCATTGAATCTTCGACTATTCAGGGTCAGCCCTAGTGCGTATGATATTAAAAACTGCAAAAGATACACATCTTATTAATATATTATTATTAATCAGTAACAAGTTTAAACAGGAGCAATAGTAGAGTATGACAGTTAGTTTGGGTAAATAAACCAGCACTAACACTGGGTCAACCCTTTGTCTTGGGTTTAATTGGTGACCCGGTGGTTTTCTACATATGGGTTGGGCAGTGGTGGAATATAACTAAGTCCATTTACTCAAGTACTGCACTACTTGTATACTAAAGTATAAATACTTGAGTATTACCATTTTATGCTACTTTATACTTCTACTCCACTACATCCCAGGGGCAAATAATGTACTTTTTCCTCCACTACATTTATTCTGACAGCTTTAGTTACTAACTTTTCTGATTGCAATTTTTTTATACCGGTCAGTGAAAACCATGTATCTCCAAATATGGTGATTTGGAGAATTTGGGATGAAAGTTTTCTGGTCAGTACCATTGACCAAGACACTGGCTCAGATCTAGAGTTGGTCCCCAGGTGCTATACAGTGGCAGAGAGAATGAATTTCACTGCATGTATGTATGTGACAATAAAGTACCTTTACCTTTACATTACTTCTTTTAAGCTAAGTTCAATGCAGAATGAGTACTTTTACTTTTGATACTAATAATACTTTTACTTACATTTGAATGCATTACTTATACTTGTAGTGGAGTATTTTCAGTGTGATATTAGTAATTTTATTTAAGTAAAGGATCTGAATACTTCTTCCACCTCTGATACTGGGTAAATGTAACCCAGTATTACATTGGTCCTGTATTGACCCATATCATATGACCCCGTGATAATTCTGTTTGTTTAAGCTGATGAGGTGTTTCCTCAGTTAATTCACAGGGTAAGTAAAATGGAAATTAATAATCTTGTTCATGAGTTATTCATTATATTCATTAACACAGCTCTACAGTATTTCAATGTATTGTGTGGCCAGAGACTCCAGCCGATTAAAAAACAAAATGCAGGGACAGCACAATCAGAAGACATACAGGAGTGAAGAAAAGATAGAAAGCTGAAGTAGGACAAAATCACAGAGAAAGCAGAAGCTTTGGTTTTATTTTGTCTTGTCGTAATTCTCTCTCATAAATGCCCCTCATGCTGCAGTCAAATCCGATCTTTCCTCGGGCTGTGATGAAATAAATTGAGTGTGAAAACGTATCAGATTTGGAGAGAGCTGAAACAGCACAGCCGAGTGAGCTTATACCGACTGGCTCCCCGCTCTGTGTCACTGATATTATTCCTGTCAGGCAGACACACATACACACACACACACACACACAAATCAAAACCAGGCACAGGGGGTCTGATAAGAGGTGACAGGTATCTCATTTAATGAGCAGGGATGCAGAAGGGCAGGGTAAATGCTGACTCATGCTTTAGTATAATGTAATAAAGATGGCATAAACTTGCAACCCTTAAACACTCAGCCTTGTCGTATTGGTCAGTGTTGGGTCTGGAAAGTGTCTGTATGAAAAGAGAAGATGTATGTGACTGATTGTTGTGATGTTAGCTATAGTAGCAGGACAGTTGTGAATATCACTGTCTGGAGCGAGTGAGGTAGCTCTACAGTCTGATCCTCTCTGCATATTAGCTTCTCTAGCGACAGTTGCTAACCCGCAACCTAGCTAAGTTAGCTACAATACTTTCACCAAAACAACTACCTGCATTAAAACAGCCTACTTAGATACAAGTACAGAAGCTTTGTCTTCACAACAAGCCTACTTTAACGTGTAAAAGTAGAAGTACTCATTCTGCAAACAAATGAGTAGCATTTTGCTGGCTGAGTTTTAGCCACAACTAGGTTTGGGCCCCCTCCAAATGATCATACATTTGTATGATCATCTGAGGGATTGTGAGATCATTATTTTCTGCAGGAAAGAATAAAAGCAAATTTCTGCTTCATACATTTGTATTTATTTTTTGCATGTTTCTCTGAAAATATTGAAATATTGGATACTTTTACCTCTTTGGCACACGGTTAGTTATTCAAATTCACATTCAATATTGTTTATATTCAGTTTCAAAGTTTTGTATGTTATTTGTGTATTTCTATACTGTGCATAAGTGGAATCTCATGGGGAGCATGTTAATGTAGCACATGGATGGAAAAATTGGGCTTTTTAACTGCATGAACAATCTTTTACTATCACAAAGTTCTGCAAAGCATAAAAGGCACAATAGCAACCACATCTCCTGAACAGTTACACTTCCTTAAGACCTGTAAACAGGCAGCCTGTTTGTGCTATCTCCAAAATCATTGCAGCTACAGTAAAAGAAAAAAAAATATTTTACCATTAGCATTACAGAAATAACACAATATTGCCCAGCAAAGACTACAACATGGGATTATAGAAAATACTTAATCTAGCTCTTGGTAAGTGAGAGTTAAGCATTTTATACATAAAATATTTCACTTCAGAGAACATTGAGTAATTCTCTTCCATTGTCTATTTGTATGAAGGCCGTACTCAGCATTTTGTCCAGATGGCAGATTACAAGCAAGGTCACACACGAACAGACAAACACAGAGGATCTTAATGCAATGATTGTTCACTGCTGGAAAATCAGTGAGGGAATGCTCCTCTCACATATATTTAAAGTGTTAACTGTGTTACCATGAAAGAAGCCTGGATTCTCTGACACACATTAACAACGCCACCATTACAAACACTGGGATAAAAATTGGTTACACTTGTGCTGAGGCAGGGAGGCTGGAGAGGGGACAACAAAAGGAATGCTGATGAAATGGAGCAAGGTAAGCAGAAATTGTACTGCTGGCTCCTCAGGGCTCTAAGGGGACGGATGACAAATAGTCGACTTGGATGTGGACACATGAACCACCATTTAAAGTTTTGCATGATTTGTGAGTCAAAACAAAAGACAATATCAAGTTTCATTATTTCATTTTAGGCATTTAGAGAAAACGGAAATGACAGTACTTTATCAGTAAACTAGATGGGGAAACAACGCGGGAAGAAGCAGCACAACTGTCTGATCTCCTGCCTGCATGACTCTAAAGCTTTGTTCCTTATACTTATTATAGTTTTTTACTCATTTTCACACTCTGATCAATCAGCTATGCCTGATAGGGGTTAGTGCATCTCAAACTTTCAGCTGTGTTAAGTTGATATGGCGATATGTGTTAGCAAACACGTATTACTTATTTACACATCCCTCAGATAAGGATACAGTGGATTTTTACAGGTTTTTCGCCCAAAATGGCAGTCTGCTGCTCTCTGGTAAGAGAGATGAGTGAGACTGAACCAAAATAGTAAAGCTGCAAGTCAAGCTCAGTAAAGATGATTAGAACTGCAGGTGATAATTCTCCATGGAGTCCTCACTACAAGTAAAGTAATCATATAGTCAAAAATATTGAGACACTTTAAGGAAAATGAGCTGTGTTTAGCTGTAATGATTGAAATTTGGTCGATGGATGGATGTAGTTTGTTGCAAAAACTGTTAAAAGCAATAAGTTTGCTAAGATAGCTAAAACCAATGATTGAGCTGTTTTGTCATATACTGCTGTTGGTGTGCTTTCTGTCTCCAGGGTTGCAGACCTCAATGGCAGGGTAATCAGCGGCATGGGACACACCTGGGCCCGGTGTGCCCCATGCATATAAGCCAGAGCAGCAGTCAGTCTTTTGTTGGACCTCCTCATCTCACGGCTTCCTTTGTTTGGTTGGTTTCTTGTCTTTGTTTTTACAGCACAACATCCATGCGGCACATTTTCACTCATCTACTCCCTAAACTACTGACTTTACAGATTCTTCCTACTCATTGGTTTCGCTTATTTTCTTATTAATAAATCACTTTGTTATTTAGTTTACCCATGTGTCTCTCGTTTTTGTCCAGTCCATGAGCCACACAGACCACCCTGAGCTATCTTCTCCGGTGCATGTGGTGTGTTTTGTACTTGTAAGACACGTAAGTGTGCAAAATCAGAGTCTAAAAATATATTACATATTTTTTTCTAAACATACTATAATAAGGTTGATAACAACGTCAGCTTTGTCCTTGCATGAGCTAGCTGTCTAAGTGGTCTTTGTTACTGAAAGGTGTTGTTAAATATTCTTCTAAAACAGTGAGATGAGCCTTCTTTGAGTGGGTTGACACAGTAACTGTCAACTCTGAACAGTGGGACAGTGTCAGCGCAAAGAGGAAGTGAAACTATGCTGAAATGGACAGAAATTGGGTGGAGACACATTTTGGGTGCATGGGTGTGAATGAAAATACACTACGTTTACAAATAGTGACTAAGTGGAAACAAGTTACACAATTTACATAATTTCCTTTACATTGTGTCAATGCAATGTGCTAAAAAGAAGAGATACACTGTCAACTTTTTCAAATATAAGGACAGAGAGATTAATTCTACCTCAATTTTGTCATTATGTGACCATTTTGTTAAGTATGTGAAACATTTTTAGGATTTCATTGCATATATTGATGTACATGTACAACATGCAAAGTATCGAGTTCAAGATCCTTTATATAGTGCTTTGTACCAGGGAAGAGGACTTCCGCACAGACACAGCTACAAATGATTAAATCTTAGTTAACCTTTTAACAAAATAATAATGTGTGTGCTAGCTAGCATGTAATGTGAGGTGAAGAGTCAGCTCAGCTTTGTTGCAGACAGTGCCAACTGCAACATTCATATGAAAGCAGTGGCGGTTCTACACCAGTTTTATTGAGGGGGCCAGACTGGGGCCATTTGTTATGTCCCAGGGGCACATTCAGTTCAGGACAAGAGACAAAGGCAATGCTCAAGCTTTCAAAAGTCTTGTTTAGTATAGTTTATATATAATGTAATGCTTAAAGCATTACATTAGATACTAATAATTATATACTGTTAACTGTAAGTTACTGAAACATATATGTTTCAGTAACAGGATCTTTTCAGTAAGTAAGTAAGTTATAGTTTTATTAAATAACATTATTCAAAAAAAAACAACAACATTCCTGGTAACTTTAGCTTAAGTTACAGTACATTCTTTGATGCAACACTTCTTTGTAAGGCTTAATGAACAGTATAAGCTCTAGTGTACTAGACATTCTCTGGATCATAGGTTGTATTTTGTATCCCACTATAACTTTTGCTATGAAACAACAAACGTTTCCATATTCACTTCTGTTATTAGTCCTGATGTGAAGTATACACAAAAGTAAATACTTGATAGTAGGCCATCATCTGTGCATTATAAAGAGGGGATACATTTTATGGCAGGTTGAAAACCATCACATACAGTCTGATATAATATGTATCCCAATATAACTTCTGCTAGGAAAACAGAAACTTCTCCATATTCACCCCTGTTATTAGTCATGATGGGAAGTATACACAAAATTACAGTAGGAGCAGTAGGCTATAGGTATTGATTTTTGTGTATGAAAAGTGCTGTTTAAATGCAATGCACATAACAAATTGTTATGATAATAATTTACCCTTTAAGAAGGGGACTCAATTTCCAGCAATATCCAAAGGCAAGCCATGCAATGGAAACATGGATTACAAGGAAAAAATATTGTCTACAATGCTGCAGTTTAATGTACATTTTGAGTCAAGAAGATTTAACGTTGAGGCGAGTAATGTGTTGAGTAAACTGATTACAGTGATCTTGATTTTACAGTATCGATGGTGTAGATATTTGTAGGAGCAGCTTACTTGAAAAAGGTCACAGTCTGTCTGGATCTAGCTTCCACATTAAGTTAACTTGGATGACTAAGTGCTCAACTACGTGGTCAGTTATAATATCGTTAGACTATTGCGAAATAGAGGTTTGCTTTACGAGGGAAACTATATGCTTGTTTTGTTATATATATATTTTTCAATTACTTTTGTGAAGTCGTAAGTCCATCTTCACTGTTGAATGCACGCTCACTCACGTGGCAGGGGGAACACGTTCTATCAGGAATAACTACCTTGGCACGACACCGGACAGTGGCGGTGTAACATCCTAAAGGATCTGACTACTTGAGATACATTTGATCTGCCTTTCGCATCAGCGCCATATCGTCACAAGGAAGATATATTATTATGATTATTGTAGACTTTTTGTTCAGAGGGGGCCATAGGGGGGTCCAAGGTCTGTGTTACAGGGGTGCTGGCCCCTGTTGGCTACCCCCCAAAACTGCCACAGTATGAAAGGCCAGAGGCTGTGTGTTGTTTGATATTGGGTGTTTATGGCCATATCACCCTGAAACCCAGAGTTATGATAATGAAAGAGGCCAAAAAAATGTTTAAGCTGGCATAGAATAACACACAAAACCCACAGCCTCCTAGCAAACGTCCCCCTTTTTACTACAGACTAGTGACTGGAATTTTATCTTCTCACCCTTATCTAAATTAGAACCTACCACCTGCACAGGTAAGCACAAGGGAGAGGTAACAAGTGTAAGCAAAAGATATACAAAAAACAACAAAACAGTAATTTAGGGTACATAGTTATTGCTGACATCTAATTTTGCTATGAACACACACCATTACTGTTAAGTGCTCAAACTTCGGGAAAAAATCAACTAATGCAAAACATTGTGACTCTTCCTTCCACTAAGAGACAAGGACAGCAGTCGGATTCTTCGTATGTCCTTTCCTAACCATTTTTCCTTGACCTCGATGAAAAACGTCACACAGTCAAGGAAAGATGGTGAATTCATAAAGACAACCGCGGTTCTCAAAGAATCCGACTGAAATTACTCTAGGCTTTAAAAAACACTTTATCTATGAACACATGGAAGATAAGCAGGCCTACAGTAACAAACTCAATGCTTTACAAAAAAAGGAAGGTTTTACTATCCAACACAGGATCACACCTCTTAAGAAAGGGTGTTTTGAAGGTACATGTAGGTTACATTTAACCATCAATTACTCCAGGACAGGGGTCGGCAAATAAGTCTGGCATCGGGCCAATTTTTTTTCAAGTCATTAGATTGGCAGGCCAGAACATATCATACACTATGTTTAGCTAAGTCAGTAGAGCACCGGACTCTTGTTAGAAGGGTTGTGTGTTCATTCCCAATGTGCTGTTATATTATTTTTCTCCCTTTTCAACAAATTAATTATGAAGAGATCGTTTTACATGTTCACAACTAAACATGTGCAGGAATGCGCGCCTCCTTCAGGGTAATCCAATCTCATGTTTTCTGACGGCTTTTTCAGAGGTGTGTTAAGCAAGCCAGAGACTCTTTTGAATTTCCTTCAGAACTTCTCAAAGTAAAAGCTCTCAATAAAACACAACATAAAGTACTGCAGCAATAACATTATCGTGCTTTCATTTTGTAGGCATAACCACTTGTTATAGCCACTCACATAAAGTGATTATGTGAGTAACTTTTGCAGTCATCACTGAGATCTGTTTCAGCACCAGCCCTTATAATATTTGTTTTTTTGCTGCTATTAAAGTAATCTGGCCACGGGCCACATATTATTGCTTAACAAAATAGATGGTTGGTAAAAATAAAAACAAAATAAATAGGATTGAAATGTTTAAATTAATAATATAATGGGAAAAAAATCAATATACAAGTAGAGAAAATGGAACCATTAAAATAATAATTAAAAATAAGAAATTGAGCAAGGGGCTAGCTAGAGTAAATCATATTCAGACACAAATATATAGAGTTTCCTAGTATGGGTGCTTTGACCTTTTTTATACATTTTTTAAGTGGAGAAATTTTTTTCAGTGCATTCCACAATGGGGGGTACTCAGCAAAACAACATTTATGTGTATAGTATTTTGATATCCATACTTTTTGGATCATGTCACAAGCAGAGGTACTCTGTTGTTTCTACATTTACATCAGTCTGCTACATTAAGGTCTGCCATGGCCAAACTACAATGCTGGGTTGCTTTAAATGTTGCTGCTGCAAGGAATTGTGGGATGGCATTATCTCCTTTCCTTCCATAAAGGATAGTCCAGTGTACCTTATGCTAAAAGAGATAAGAAAGGAAACACTGAAGCACCTTTCCTTAGCTTTTAGAGAATTCAACCAGTTCTTGTGATACTTTCAGGTCCTTTCATTCAGTTAGGAACTTTCCTGAGCAAAAAAAGTCTATTCAATCACAGCCAACACCTTGTCACTCAAGGCTTAACCTGCTGGAAACCCTCAGCTATTTGCCCCTATTTGCAGGAAAAATGCCTAAAATAAGATACCCAAAATGAATCACTTATAACTCCTCAACCATTAGATAGATGCATAATTCTGGTCTCCTTTGATAGGTCAGAAACTAAGGAATAAATGAAGGAGTAAATGGAGATGCAATAAAGGAAAATATGATATTTACATCCTCACCTGGTATAAAATCTATATTTTAATAGCAATATCACCATCAAAACTATCATCCAACTCATTATACTGCAACTGAATAACTTCTAAAACATCTAGAATACAACTGTAACTGTAAATTTGATGGAAAGAAACTAATATACAACAGTTATTACACAATTTTTCAAAAATATACCAGGCGAATGTCCATTTTTGGCCATATTCACTGTTTATATGTTCACTAGTATTGGGAGGTTTCTTCAAAACACTATTTCTGTCCATGCAACCATGTTCCAGATAAGATAAAGCTTCTAAAACATTGAAATATTGATAAAAACAGTGAATATTCATCAGCATTCCTGTGACCAAAAGCACTCTCATGCTTTACAGGCCTACAACTTGAGAAGATCCTACAGGGCTAAGTGGACTCTTTCTTTTTGTATTGAAGAGACAAATCTGTGTAGCTCCTACGGGTCGGCCAGTAGAGGCTCATGTCGAGGGGCGGTCCCCCACAGAGCGAGTGGAGACTGCACCCTGATATAATACAGCAGATCTGGTCT